AGTGTAATAAGTATAAAAAGACAGCTCAGTTGAATTCACCAATATGATTGTTGTTCCCTCAAACTTGACTAGCCTTCAACTACTTCTTAGCCAAGCTAACCCCTTGAAGCCCTGCTCAGGGGTCACCTTCAGGAGGTCTCCTTGACTTGCCTACTCAGGGTACCCAGTATGTACCCTGTGCTTTCCTGATCACACTCCACAGAGCAGAGCCTGCTCTAGTCAGAATTTGTTTAACTCCTAGATTAAAGACTTGTTCTCGAGGTTGGGACTCTTGTCCTAGCTGACCTTGTTTTCCCAGGGTCTAGTCTAGTGCCTGCCACCCAACAGGTCCTCAGTCAGTGCTTAGAAAATGAATGAGGGAGCCCTGGCCAGTGAGCCTCAGCTGGTTGAGCATCATCCTATACACAGAGAGGTCACCGGTTTATTCCCAGTCTGGGCACAAGGCCAGGTTGTGGGCTTGATCCCCTGTTGGGGGCGTGAAGGAGGGAGCCTATGGATGTGTCTCTTACTGATTTTTTTCTCTCTCTCCCCCTCTCCCTTCCTCTCTCTAAAAAATCAATAAAAACATATTTTTAAAAATGAATGAGGGAGTCATCGCAATGTGTTCCACACTCTGCTTCAGTTGTTTGCTATTGCCAACGTTATTGATTGATTTGTAAACTTTTTCTTTCAATACCTATCAAGATTCCGGTGACAACTTTGAAGAAATGACACTGAATTTTTGAGCTGCTTTGTGTTGATGTCTTTTTTGTTTTCCCACAGGAAGGAAAAAGAGGAGGAAGAGAGACATAAGTTGTATGACTTTTCCTTGCCACTTTCAAGTCATGATGAAAGCTCCTATGATGATTCTGACTTCAGGTAGGTAGAACAACAACAGGAGGAGAAAACGGAAATTGTGGCCAAAGACTGAAAAATAACAATAATGATTCCCAGGAGAGAGAAGAGAGCTCATTATAATTTTTTGTAGGCTGAGTGAAAAACAGGAGTGAGCAGTGTTTTACTTGGGTGACTACATTTATTGATGCATTTAGTCTTTTACCCATTTTTTATATTATAACTAATAATTATGACTAATAATATTAAATTATAATATAACTAGGGGCCCGGTGCATGAAATTCGTGCACATTAAAAGGGAATTAATTAGAGAGTCAAGTCCCCTCACACCTGTGCAGGCCTCAAAATCACTTGAGACCCAGACCCAGCTGGCCCCACCCCCACGGGGCAAGACCCAGACCTGGCTGGCCACACACCTGTCAAGCCCAACCCCCCCGCAGCATCACATCAGTGCTGGGCGGGGACACACAGAGGCAGCGCCACGTCCCAGGCCAGGACACAGGCAGGCAGCTTCCACTCCCCTCCCAGCAGGACACAGGCAGGCAGCTTCACCTCAGCGCTGGGCAGGGACACACGCAGGTAGCGCCACGTCCCAGGCCAGGTCACAGGCAGGCAGTGTCACCTCAGCACTGGGCAGGGACACACAGAGGCAGTGCCACGTCCCAGGCCAGGGACACAGGCAGGCAGCATCACCTTAGTGCTGGGCAGGGACACATGCAGGTAGCGCCACGTCCCAGGTCAGGGACACAGGCAGATAGTGTCACATCCCTGGCCAAGGATGCAGGCAAGCAGCTTCACCTCAGTGCTGGGCGTAACATTAGCGCTGGGCAGGCCTGGGCGTGCCTCCACTGGGGGCGGAAGTCCCCGTCCCGCCCCCTAGCTCCTGTGCGTGCACAACCCATTGACTGGTTGTGACTCAGACACCGTTAGGACCAATTAGCATATTACCTCTTTATTATATAGGATAATGACTACCATTTATTAACTGGTTACTCTGTGCCAAGCATTAAGCTAAACAGATTAGGAACATGGCCTCATGTTAACCTTTATAACAGTCATGTATGGTGGAGATCATCCACTGTGTTTCTGCAGCAGCAGGCCCAGGTTTGTAGAGGCTTCACAACGTCCCTACAGGAAACACTGGGTAAATAACAGTAGCTAAGACACAGTCCCTATTTTCAGGGGCTCACATCTGTTAGAAAGAAGGTGGATGTATCAGCAAGTAAGTTCCAGAGGTGCTGTTCCACAGAGGGGACAAAGATGGCAGCAGCCTGGAGCCATGCAGAAACACTGTAAAGAAGTGTGCTTGACCTGAGTAGGCACCTGCCAGGCAGAAGGCAGGGGATGAGAAAGGGCTGGTTTGCTCAGTGGGTGGAGCAGTGGAGGCAAAGGCTCCGAGGCAGGAGGTCCTGGAGGTCTGTGAGCGGCTTCAGGAGAGGTGAGCCTGGAGATGATCCCTGGACAAATCATGAAGGGATTTCCATGAAGCACTTGATTTCCTAAGTCATGGAGAGTCATAGAAAGTTATCAAACAGGGAAACCGCATGGTCATAGTTGGACTTTAAAAGTCTTGATGTGCCCTCGCTGGTTTGGCTCAGTGGATAGAGCATTGGCCCTCAGACTGAAGGGTCTCGGGTTCGATTCTGGTCAAGAGCACATACCCTGGCCCTGGTTGGGGCGTGTACAGGAGGCAACCACATGTGTCTCTCTCACATTGATGTTTCTCTCTCTGTTTCTCCCCTTTCCTTCCACTCTCCCAAAAAATCAATAAAAAAATATCCTCGGGTGAGGATTAACAAAGAAAATAATAGCAAAAGTCCTGATGGCAGATGGTGGTCGTCACAAAGGGAGGATATATGTATTTGGGGGATTTGCAAAGTCTCCCATAAAGATTTACCTCTGTGTGGAACCCTAGCTATACCTCTTGACCAGTGGTCCCCAAGCTTTCTTGATCTTGTCTCTCTCAGTAAAATATTTATGAGAATTCAGCCCCTAATAATACATTAATTATTTAGAAACTATCCTATCTAATAGAGGAAATATGCTAATTGACCCTCATGCCATCACAAAGATGGCGGCGTCCACGGCCAATAAGGAAGGAATATGTTAATTGACTGCCCCCGCCCTCAAAGATGGTGGCGCCCACAGCCACAAGATAGTGGCACCCAGTCCCCTCCGCGCCGCTGGGGTGGCAGGCATGTGGCAAGGCAAGGCCTGCCCAATAAATATTTTTTTTTGTCATCACACGTTTTTAAACTGATGACCTTTCTGGTCCAGGCACTGCTTATAAATAACATGAAGCAATGGAATTGTAAGAATCATTTTTTTCAGTATTTGTGCACCCTCAATTCTTCAACTTGTTGCCTGTTTTGTACCATAAACTTTACCTTTTATGTATCTCTATAAAAAGTCTAATAGATAAATTTTCTTTGTTCAAAGCTTAGTCTGGAGTCTAGTAGATAGCCAAAACCGGTTTGGCTCAGTGGATAGAGCGTCGGCCTGCGGACTGAAAGGTCCCAGGTTCGATTCCGGTCAAGGGCATGTACCTGGGTTGCGTGCACTTCCCCAGTGGGGGATGTGCAGGAGGCAGCTGATCGATGTTTCTAACTCTCTATCTCTATCTCGCTCCTTTCCTCTCTGTAAAAAATCAATAAAATATATTTTTAAAAAAAAAAGTCTAGTAGATAAATTTTCTTTGTTCAAAGCTTAGTCTGGCTTCACCCATTATTTCAAATCAGTTTAACTGGAAAAGGAGTGAAAATTAAGTGAGGTATCAGTTGTTAAAGTGTGTACACGCTTTTGGGGACACCCTATTTATTTATCTATCTATATCTAAATATCTATATATCTATATCTATATATATATAAATATATAGTATGTTATATATTAGATATAAATATATATTTCCATACTAATATAGTATATATACTATAAAATATAGAAAAAATAGAAATTAAAAATGATGCGATAATAATACATAACTAGAATTTCCAATATCTTCTCCTTTATAATGGCTCTGCTGTGGACCTATCTGTGGTAGAGATAACCACTCAGGACCAGCCCCCACAGGTAAATATCAATAAGGTAAACGTTTCCCCCACAGGAAAAGATGAAGCAGTAGAAGGAGCTTTAACTCTAAAAAGATCTGGGGTTTTGAATCTTTGCTGCGCCCTCTCTGTGACTTTAGGTCAAGTTACAAAGTTCTCTTGGCCTGTTTCCTTGGGCTTAAAGAGTGTGGCTGATTGTTATGTCTAAAAGAGCTAACCCATATGAAGAGCCTGGCATAGAAACTGCCAATATGAATAGTCATTATATTATTTTTCCCTAAAATTGCTACATTCCTTACTGCAAAGCCTTGGGGCATCCTGTTGGAGAGCCCTGGGCCAGCTCACCGCTGGGGCAGCCCATTCCCTGCTCACTCACCGCTGGGAACGGAAATGGTGAAACTCCAGAAAACGCACAGGTTTTACCCGCAGGGAAGCGCTTCCACGCTCCAAAAGTCACGTTCAGACAGGGAACAGCCGGGTCCAAAAACATCCTCCTAGACCAGTGATGGCGAACCTTTTGAGCTCGGCATGTCAGCATTTTGAAAATCCTAACTTAACTCTGGTGCCGTGTCACGTATAGAAATTTTTTGATATTTGCAACCATAGTAAACAAAGACATTTTTTTTTATATATTTTATTGATGTTTACAGAGAGGAAGGGAGAGGAATAGAGAGTTAGAAACATTGATGAGAGAGAAACATCCATCAGCTGCCTCCTGCACACCCCCTACTGGGATGTGCCCGCAACCAAGGTACATGCCCTTGACTGGAATCGAACCTGGGACCCTTGAGTCCGCAGGCTGATGCTGTATCCACTGAGCCAAACCGGTTAGGGCAAGACTTATATTTTTGATATTTATTTTATATATTTAAATGCCATTTAACAAAAATCAACCAAAAAAATGAGTTCGTGTGTCACCTCTGACACATGTGTCATAGGTTTGCCATCACTGCCCTAGACACCGCTACCGGAAGTCACTGAGGATCAGTGGCCCCAGCCCTCTGGGGGCCTGAGGAAGAGCAGACTAGCTCCTCCTGCTGCAAATACCAGAGACATTGAGGACAAGTGGCCTCCCCTGTGCTGAGCACATTCCATCAGTGTCCCATTAACGTCTCAGAAAAGTCCCTGAGGAAGATGTCATTGTTCCTGGTTTTCAAAGGAGGCAGCTGGGTCCACTTGAGTCGAGGCACAGGCTCCTCGGGGGTCTCTCAAATACCCGTATCTCATCAGGCTACTCTTTTGCTTAAAACCTAGTTTCTCCTCATCCCCTAAGGAACCTAGAAGTAAAGTCCAAACTCGTAGACACCAGACCGCCATGAGGTGCCCCTACTCCTCTCCTCTCTCTCCACCCCCCACCGCTCCAGCCAGATTGAGCCCCTGACGCTGCCCTAAGAGGCCCAGCTCCTCCGCCTCCAGGCCTTGCTTGGCCCAAGCCTCTTCCTCTGCAGGAAATGCCCTTCCCCTCCCACTGGGCCCTCCTTCCCCAGCCGGCCCTGCTGCTGCTTCAGAGTCAGTGCAGAGGACATCTCCTCCTCCAGGAAGTTTTCCCTGACAACGCCCCCCCGCCCCCGAAGGTCAAGGTCAAATGCTTCTCCTCTAAGCTCTCAGGCTTTTTATAACATGAAAACTCACTGAGCCCAAAGCAGTGCAAGGAACGGCGTTGGAACATTCTGGGTTGGGCGATCAGAGCAGACCCATTTTGTAGAAAGCGCCGAGGGCTGAGCAAGAGGCAGGCTGCATGCAGATGGAATAAGAGTAAAGGAGCAGCCAAAACCGGTTTGGCTCAGTGGATAGAGCGTCGGCCTGCGGACTGAAGGGTCCCGGGGTCGATTCCGGTCAGGGGCGTGTGCCTGGGTTGCGGGCACATCCCCGGTGGGGGATGTGCAGGAGGCACCTGGTCGATGTTTCTCTCTCATCGATGTTTCTGACTATCTCTCTCCCTTCCTCTCTGTAAAAAATCAATAAAATATATTTTAAAAAAAAAAAAAAAGAGTAAAGGAGCAGATGCTGACCCATTCAGGGCGTTTTCCTGAGTTCTCACCGCCCTCTTTCGCCCATCTGTCGGGGACAAGACAGCCAGAAGTCATAGTGCTCTTTGCAGAAGTCCATAAAAATCTTATCATTTTCAATTCTGGCACCAAAATAAAGGACAATTGACTAGCACCGTGGTTGGCAAACTGGCTCGCGAGCCACATGCTCTCTCTCTGAAAATCAATCCAAAAAATGTTCTCAGGTGAGAATGAACAACAACAACAAAATCACAACTAATGTTTTACTTAATTATAACTTTTTCTTATTCATTAGTTGTTACCACCTTGAGCAGTGGCACCAACAGAGTTTCCATAGCTAAAACTCACTCAGTGCCTAGCCAGGCCTTTATTCTGCCCGAAGCATGACCCATGTATTATTCAGTTCTCACAGCTTTCCTGTGGTATACGGGATGTCATTATTCTCACTTTACAATTGAGGCTTGGAGAGGCTTAGTGACTTCCTCGTGCTCCCTCCATCTCTTCCTTTCTTCTTTTCTTATTAGTCCTCACCTGAGAATATGTTTATTGACTTTAGAGAGAGAGGGAGGGAGAGAGAGAGAGAAACATCAATCAGTTGCCAGGGATCAAAGACTCTCCAACCAACTGAGCCACCTGCCAGGGCTGGCCTTGTAAGAGAAGGCTTAAGAGATAAACGTAATATGAAGAAAGTTTTATGAGTTGTTTTGTTTTGGTTTGTTTTTTAAAGGAACAACCACTGATACTGACTGATAGCTGGATGGTTGGACTGTGAAATCTTCCAGGTTAGTAGTAGCTTATAAATACTATTATTTTTAACATCCATTTTACAATGGAAGAGGAGACCATCCAGTGCAGTTCATTTTAACAAGTATTCATCGCTCTTTCCTCTTCCTTGAACTTGGTATAGACCAGTGATGGCGAACCTTTTGAGCTCAGCGTGTCAGCATTTTGAAAAATCCTAACTTAACTCTGGTGCTGTGTCACATATAGAACTTTTTTGATATTTGCAACCATAGTAAAACAAAGACTTATATTTTTGATATTTATTTTATATATTTAAATGCCATTTAACAAAGAAAAATCAACCAAAAAAAATGAGTTC